AATAAGAAGTCTTTTTGTCTGGGCTCTTGTCTGCAGTGACGTCACGAACTTTGACTGAATTTGTCCTTAGCCATTATGGGTATCTGCCTTGAATTCTGAACTCTGAGTTGTTCTGCCATCTTGAAGTATTTTTTTTTTAACCTAGCTTTAGTTTTTATTTCTTTATCAAAGGACACAGAAATAAATATTCCATGAAAAGAGGCTCAATAATCCCTTTTAAAATAAACTGAGAATATTTATTAAACAGACTTTAAGATTAAATATACATGGCAAGGTATTTATTTTTATGACACTTCTGTGTCTTTCATAATAATTTCATCTCTAGAGCGACAGCTCTTGTTTTAAAATAATTATTTTACTTATTTTTATTATTTTCAAATTTGCTATAGGGCACATGTACTCACCAGAAAGCGAGAGCGAGAGCGAGAGCGAGCAATCCTCTAGGCCTGGGACCACAGCCAGCCATGTGGAAGCCCAGTGCCTTTACCACCATCCTACCTACTGGCCCCCTAGACTGATAGCTCTTGAGGGTGAAGGTTTAATCTACTGAAATGTTTTCAGAAGGTCAAAACAATATTCATGTAAATCACTGAAGTGCCACTAAATCTAAATAAATGTAATTGTATCACATGGGTGTGTTTGATTAGTTTCTTCAAGGGAGAGTGGTGGAATGAATTTCTATTTTATTTTAGATGATTTAAGATAGCCTCTCTGCATTCAAATGACAAAGCATTTTACTCTCTGATCATAAATAATTTTTTTCCTTATTCTTTTTTTGTCTATGATAAATCCTGTCATTCTACCAGTCTAATAAATGCTAAATAAGCTGGCATATTTGAAATCTAATCTCATCAGTCATTCTGGCCATCTGATTGCTTCAGATTAGTGAAGCATCACTTTAATTATTAAAGTGATTAACTTTTCTCCTCTTTAATTTAGGACACGTAAGCCCAACTACTGCAGATTCAATATTTAAATTAATTTAGTGTTTGTAAGCAAAGGTGTTACCATGAACTAAGTCCAGCTGCTTCTTCTCACAGTCAATGAAATGAGGGGCAGAGGCAGGAGAAGGGAGTTTATTCTGTAATAGGTTACAGGGAGAAAGTCAACAAGCATCAACCGCGTGGAAAAGCGCGACATGGTCTCGGTACTTATAGGTGCAAAATACGAGCATGTGCAAATCATTCTTCATTACCATCAGTGAGAGTCAATAGATATCCCCTGGGTAATTACCCTGATTCCTTCAAATGCCCACTGCTGTTTTCTCATCTGACCATTTCTCCAACAGACCTTCCATGACTCAGCAGTTGGTCAGCTGGTTCTCAGTAGAGGCCTTTCTTAATTTCAAAATGGCTGCCATCCTGCT